GAATTATAGCATCCATTAAGTTATTTTATAACGTAGCCTACATAAATGTAAATTTGTTAGTTTCTTATTATAAGACCGTTTTTCATGTAACTAATCGTTAGATAGTTAGCATATTGCATTGGGGAATAGACACACGTGTCGTTCATTCTGATACTATGCTGCATAGAATCACAAATCATGATTAATTAATGTATGCGCTAGTGTGCTCTCGTATTTCTCTTATTGTGATGTTAATGGCTGATTTAAATAATCTTTCTTTTTTTTTTGAACTTTTAATGTCGAACTAATGACACGAGATAAATTTTGTAATTTGACTGTTCTAATATCTTATAATGTATTATAGAGGATGTTAAATAGAATAAAAGATTAAGATAATAAAATTTTATATAATTACTGGGCGTTTCGCTGTCTCTAACATTTCTAGAACTGCCACGAAGTCGAGGATTTGCACCCATTTTACTGTGATATATTGTAGCTTAGTCTGTTTAAATAGGAAAATCGTTAAGTAAAGGTCTAAATTGTAAAATATATAATGCATTCATAAGCATTATACGGTTGCAAAGCGATTAAGCAAAGTTTGTGGTTGTATAATTTTCATCTCATGTGCGATATTAGATTACACGCTACATGGCGCGATTCGCAAGCGATTTGTAACTATTTAAGCGCGATAATGGATTTAATTATATTCAATGTTTAGAAGATTTTGTACTTTTGAAACGATAAATTCGATCGTCTTTTTATAAAGTAGAGAGATAAAAGTTTTCTACTTTGAAAATCTGACAGCAATTTAACACAAGAAATACCTCCAAAGAATTACACTTTAGTTACTGCAATTGACCTGTCGCAAAAACTGTTGAATGGATAAATGCTGATTTATCGTTTAAAATATTTTATTTTAAACTTCAGTTTATTCCCTTGAAATTTATGAGTTTATCATTCAGTTTAGATGCTGAAGAAAATGAGAATTTTATTCAAAATAGTCGCAATTGAATTGAAGTGTTTTTTTTCCAAAATTAATTTTTTCAAATTAAACTCTTCTTAGTTTAAAAGATAAACTTTAGAGCTATATATATATATGCTATAATTTTATATATAAAAGCAAATAAAATAAGATAAAGAAAAGACAATAGGATTTTCTTATCTAAAATAATGGATAAGAGAGAGATAATTCATTTTGAGGATAAATGAGCGGATGAGAATGATCATAAATATTAATGGAAAATGTTTGAAATGTTGTAAAAGACACAGGATATAATTCGTTACAGGATATCCTACAGGGAAATCGAATATATTAATTTGAGGTTATACTAGACATCAACATAATTCATTTCAGGAAATCCAAATAGATTAAGAATATCCTTTATGGATAATGATTTTGTCATAGTAAATTATCTCGTCTTTCCTTCAGGAAAATGAAAATTTTGCATCATAAAGTATGTTAATTGGCTACGGAATACGAGATGTAGGAGATAAAACACGAATTTAATTAAAAATGTTATTAAAAAGTAACAGTTTTTGTAAAGAAATTATAAGAGTCGCAATAAAAGTTGTCTCCAGATACCTCTGCCCAAATATCTATAACTGTATATTATAACAGTATAAAAGCGAAGAGTTCAGAAGATAATATCTCGAAACCTTTATACTAACATCTGACAAGCTGGCATATAAAATTTTTAAAGTGAATTTAATAGAATTTTATACTCAGCTAAGAATCGATAATACTTTCTTAAGCTACTTAACACGCTATTTATGTGAAACTATTGGTAAGAAGGGTGTATGTTTTGTTCTCTAATTTTATTCTTATAGCTAACCGTTAAAAGTTGTCTGGAAAAACGAAAATTGTGTCGTAAAATAGTTCATTTCAACAGTTTACTTTCGATCATATCCCTGGAAAGAATGCACAAGAGCAGTAGAAGTAGAGACGCTCTTACTCTCGGTTTCTATTCAAACAGAAGTCTTTTTTCTCATAAAATACGACTATTAAAACTAAAAAAAGGAGGTTAGTGTTAATTTATTTTCGACAGTACTTCATCAACTTGGTGTTCTCGACTCCGCTCCATTTATTGGCTCCTCTTTTATAAATGTCTCAACTTACAATGGTATTTCGAAGTTATAACACGAGTTTGCTGGATATAACAACTGTTAATGTTAGAATAACACTTCTATATCACTTTTCATTAATATTATAGCATGTTAGAGCTAGTAAATTCCATTTGACGATGTATAGATTCGGAGAAAATCGCTTTGGATCCACCGATAACGTCGAAATTTCGAAAGATCGAGTATTTAGTTTTAATATTTTACATAATCGTGACGTATTCGACATGGCCAACCAAAATTTTATTGATTCACTTCAAGATCTATCTAAAGATAACATCCAAAGTAGGATTTTATGTGGTACTTCTCATCGCTGTATCGTCACACATTATAAGCGAACGAGCGTGACGCCACGTTACCGTCGCGTCAATAAAATTTCTTTGTATAAATTGTTACAAACTTCCTACCTATTACAATATTATACGTTATTCGTAAAAGTTTTGATAGCTTTAATTAAACTTTATATATTTGTTAGAAATCTTACTGAGGTAAGTCGATATTGAAACGTACTGTACTGTACCTCGCGATGCGACATTGCGCGAAACGCCGCACCAAATAGTATAGAAAAATTAAAAAAATACAGTTTTTAACAATTCGGAAGCGAATTAAAAAACAATTATAATGTTACACTTTATAATTTTATAATTAAAAAAATTCCTCTTTTAATGGAATTACACATGTAAAACTTCCAAAAATAAAAACAATAGCTTTTTGCATACTAAGCAGAACTTAGTGTATGCTGGCAGAGACAAATTTAGCCAAATTAATCGATTATTCCATTAATTCTGACGCATAATCAATCAAAATCAACATCGATGTGTTTATAGGACATTGTTAGTTTAGTCCGACTTGGAAAAATATAATCTTTTGTCAGACAAAATCGAAGATTTCGACAGAAAAGGGAGGGTGTGTGAATGACAGAACACCTGCTCGAGACTCTAACCATTTCCTAGACGTTGGATCACGCTAGAAAGGTGCCACACTAATTAAATGAGTGATAAAATGATAGTTGCACGTGACGTAGGTGACATTGTGTAGCTCACTTTTGTTCTCAATGAAACTGTGATTAATAGACATGTGTATAGAACATTCGTGTACACGCATCGATTATATGTTAGGTGACAATCTCTTCGGTTTAAAGGGGCATAACTCGACCGAATAAGATCTCGACAGATGATAATCAATCACTAACGAAAAGTTAAATGAATATTTAAATTATTTAGAAACTTGTACTCTTTTTTATTATCTTTACACAAAGTACAATAAAATTTTAATAAATTTATCTTACATCTAATTAATATTTATTTTAAAAATAAATTTATAAATACCTAACCATTAAAATAATCATTCTAGAAGTGTTAATATCATAGATGAGAATTCGATTTAGTTTCGTGTTTGCTCCTAGTTTAGGGCTAAATTGATCTTAATGATGTCATGTTCACAATAATGAATCAATTGTTCACAAATGAATTAAATAGCTGGCCCAAGTTTAAATCATTCTATACAGAATTTAGCCATATTCTCTAGATACAAACGTTATAATTTGTCTTTCTGTACTTTAAATTTATATAACTTATATAAGAATTTAAATTAAAATGAATTCAAGTGAATATAAAAGAATATAATTTTGAATTACTGAGCAAAATATTCACATTTTAGTAATAATTTAAAACCTTTGTATATAAAGACAACTTCTTTCAATAACTGTAGTCACCTTAAAATATAATATTAATAGCTGAAGGATTTTTCAATTAAAAACGAATTCATTGAAGATTATAAGATATATTTTTTACTGACGTTCGGGTTTATAATATCTCATTGAAATATTATTAGCACTTTATTAAATCCTTCATTAGTCATAAGCTTTTATGCTTAAGAAAACCTTACATATCTTTTTAAACATTTAAAAATAATGAGATTTATGAGAACAGGTAAAATCTTTATTAATTATATATATATATATTCGCGATACAGTTTCTCTCCCACACGTACAGTACATCTTTACAGTTTATCAATTATCATTATCTCTGCAAATACTGCAGCGAGAGTTAACGGTTAATAATTTGTGTTCACAAATTTACTATATCGCGTATCAGTTCGTCTAGACGATAAGCAACTAATACAGAATAATTCGAATTAGTTGGCTGATGGAGTACAAAATCTGTGATGCACGAAGCGTTGATGTAACACTAAACCTCCATGTTAGGGATTAGCTGGTGATAACGTGTAATGATACTTTAATATCATGTCTAACAAATGTTGTGCGAATTTATCGTTCTGATCCGATCCATCCTTGGAAAGATGATGATATTTATAAACGAACAAATATTTTCATATAATTAAATTAAATTAATTTCCATAATTCAAATGTTGATTATTTTCCGAAAACTTTTACAAAAATTCCAGTTGTAACTAATCGAATTTTGAACTTGATATGTTATTTTTATATTAAACAGATTTATTGTATTCCATTAAATTATTATTTTTGATATGTTTCGTGTCTATCAAAACCATATCTTTCATGCCAACTTAGAAACATCAATAATTTTGAATTTAATCGCGTTAAAAATGCATCAATATTATTTTGCATGAGAATTTTTTTTTATATTCGAAGTTGTACTTACTTTCCAAGAAAAAATTATACCAGAAAAATTCAACAACATTCGTTTCTTATTTAAGAATAGAAGCAACAATAAAAATTATTTTTTAAAAAAATGCATCAAAATTTACATTGCAATGAAACCTTTCTTACAAACTCATATTCCTTAGAGAAACTGATTAAAAAGATTATTCCTTGAGAGAGAGAGAGAGAGAGGGAAAAATCTTATACAGAAAAAAAAAACTTTCTTATACAGAAAAAATTGCATCAAAACATGTTTTATAGAAAAATTGTTTCAAAACATGCTTTACACAAAAATTCACAAGAAAATATATTCTATAAAGGAAAAAAAATTAAGTAAAACTTTTTGCAGTAAAAGAAAGTTATCGTAATTCAATTTTCTGATTTTTTTTTCCTCCTCCTTATAAAAATTGTAGTAATGGTTTACAGTTTTAACTATAAATAGTCCATTCGTCTTTCAAGTTCAAGATATCTTTGATTGGTTTAGTTCTTTCGGGAATAAGTGGTAAACACTTTTCAATCGATTTTTCCTCTGTACAATACAGTTTAATACAAAAGAAGATTGTTAGATTAGGAGTCACTTTAAATGATTTAAGACAGAAAATACAATAAGAAAATAAGAAAAGGACGTTAAGAGATTTATATTTGCTATACTGCACGCTTCTGATCCGTAAGTGTATGTGGCGCAATGTTCGTACATTAAGTGTGCCGATATCTTCTCCAAGTGCTCTTGAAGAAATTCTCCAGCTTCTGATCCACAGTCTTGAGAGACGTGAAGATACTTGCAATGGACAAATTCACGAAAAGCGCTAGATTAAAATGAACAAAACTTTATTTTAGAATATGATTAACATTTCTAAAACTTATAGTTTAATGTATACGAGATGATTTGTAATTAAATACAGGGATATTAATGCGAGGAATTACTTTGAAATCTTTCTATGACCATTGGTGGTTATTTGCGATACACGCAAGACATGAAACGTTTTAATAAATGATAATTGGATGGTTACTTCAGTAATGATTAATGAAGAATATAAAATAAGCTGAAAAGTATACAATATTACCTCAAACTAAAAATACTTCTATTTTTTAAACCCATTATTCTTAAAAAATAATCACTAATGAATCTTCTTTCAAATTAAATTGATGCATTCTCCTGTCTTGAGTATTTTCTAAATACAGATCTATATTAATTTTTAAATTATTTTATGGAATAAAATTTATAATTTTATGAAAATAACGGAAGGATAACGAACCGAGTAGAAATATAAATAGTTCTGATGAAGTAATTATATATCATTACACGTTCTTAGGGAAACTTTTAATTGAGTTTCGTCTTCAAAATTATTGTGTTTATTTACGTTGTTTAAGCAACGTAAAATAGTAAATAATCTTTAATATTTCGTTTGCTTTTAAATCTATAACAAATAAATAAATTTTCTAACATATTTTATTTATTTTACTATTAACATTGCAGGAATGGCAGCAGTAAAATTACACTTAATGTCATTATAGACTTCGCTAAGATATTTAAATTTGAGAGGAAACACTTGCTGATTTAAGATCTTGAATAAGAGTTCTCACCTAAGCTAATTAGTTGAAATTTTGAGCACATAAATAATTAAAAGCGAATAATCTTGTTTTCAACAAACACTAAACAATAAAATCAATTTAGACGAAAATATTTTGAAACAAACCAATTGAAAATTTCTATTAAATATAATCCTTTATAGAGTTTTATGACTCAATTACAGAATAAACTATCCTTAAAAGAGCAATGACAGATTAAATAAATCAACTTGTTTTGTAATAAAAATGAAATACATAAAATTCGAACAAACAAGAGAAAAAAACAAATTTTAAATTTGGAAATTTAATTTAAAAAATACTAAATAAATTAATTAAATTATTAAATTTTGTTGAATGCGCATTACTAATTAGTACATTTTTATTCATGATATATAATCTGTACATTTTATTTAACAGTAATAATATAATTAAATGTTTAAGAATTGTATGTTTTTTTCCCTCTAAAATAATATAAACATTAAGAAAAGAAAGACATCTCAACATTAAATGTAAAATATTATATTTACTCAAGTATTTTATATGAAAAATTCTTCTGTTTTTTTAAGAATAATAATAATAATAATACTTTTAGTTTTAATTAAATAAGAAATAATTTGATCTAAATAGTATTGTGAATGATAAGAGAGTTATTCTTGTAGTAAGATGGGACCCGAGCCATTCATAAATGCGTGGCTCCATCTTTTTCGAAAGTCATAAAAAGACAAATAAAATAACCAAAATAAATAGAAATAGATGTTGAATACTTTATATTACTTTCGTGTCATATATTTTACAAAAAATAATAAATTTTGAGAGTTTTCTATGCCCGAACAGTCCGAAACATCCTGCTTGTTCTCTCTATTTGAACCTATTTATAATAAAATTGCATAGTCTATATATAATTTTACATATGTTCTGAAGAAGTGTATAATCAATGATAAATTATAATAATATACCATTTTAAAATTGTAGATATTTAACTCTACATCGATGATATATTTACTTAAAAATTACAATAAACTTTCTGCTTTTTTATTTGAAAAATTTCGCTTTTGTTTATACATATATTTAATAATTTACATTAAAATTTTCATTATATTATTGATAGTATGGCATTTAATATACAATTTTTACTTAAACTTGTCTTCGTAGTTAACATTTTACATGCCACATCTATTATTTCCCTCATTCAATACTGTCTCACTACAATCTGACATTTAAAATCACGATTCTTTGAATAATTTATTCTATATTTTATTATTTACACGTTAAATATCATCAGTTTTCCTATAATAATAGCCTGCTAATTTTAACTTTGAAATGTTCAAGAAGAAGTAGCTAGAATTTAATATAAAATAAAATAAATGTAAACCTGTATATATAAAAAAAAGTATGGATATTCTCGTTATTATAAATGATTAAAAACTTTTCAATGTATTATTAAAGATTTAATAAATATCATATTTCAGATATATTTAATTTAAATATGTGTAAATTTAGATTTTTATATTTAATGATCATTTAGTTTTCGTTTATTAGAAATGGGTTAATCGATAAGTGTAATTTGTATACGTACAGTACCAATGAAATATTTATTAAAGGTATTAATAAATAATTATTATTTGTTAATATAAAATTTAAAAATATTTATTTAATATTTAAATATTCAGAAAAGTGCAATATCCTTAATGGTTTAGTTAAATTTCTTGAATTTTTTATAATGCACTTGACTTTTTTTCTGTAGAAAATTTTAATTTTATTATTTAAACTTTCTTATTAAGTTTAGTTATTATTAATTAGTATATTATGAAAGTTTTAATGATTTATATACATGAAAAGATTAGGATTTTCCAGAAATTCTAACTTTTATGTGGTTAATATATTATTATTTTACGATTTATTCGAAATATGGAAATAAATTTTGTGTGATTTCTGACTACAAGAAGAAATTTATGATTTTTTTTTTAATATTATTTTTCTATGGTTCATCGATCATATTCAAATTTTCATAACTGAATATTTGTAAGAATATATTGATACTCGTGCGGAGTCATTCTTCACTAACTCTTGCTTCCATTTTGGAAAATGGAATTTGATAGAGCGTCATACGCGATGTTTCAGATAAAATTTTGTTTTCTGGGAATTTTCCAATTCGATAAATTTACACTCTATTGCTCTTTATTCCTACTGAATTTTGATTGATAAAAACTGTNCCCTGTATCGAAGACGAGCTTGAAAGATACCAATTCAGCTATCTTATAAATATGTTAAATGCATCTTAGGATGGCTCGCTTTTAAATTTATATATATATATAATAAAAAAAACTGAGATATTCAAAATTTGTTAAAAGTACCAATAGAAAATCTTCCATATTAGCATTCATTGAAATCATTCGAGTAGAATAACAACACGATACAAATCTGAATCCTTTCCACTAACAGAAGATACAATTGTGCTATTTTAAAACTTTATACATAGCTGCGAATAATAATCTATTGAAACAATTACCATTCTTAATCTAACAATTACACTAAACAAACTTCTATTTTGTCAAAATCTATTTAAGTTAACTGTAAAGTTCTCTGTTTAACTTGTTATCAATTAGATTTGTCATGCAATAAATTTAAGTTTAGAAAATTGTATATATTTGTTCATTAAAATTATAAAAATATACAGTACATAGTAACTAACTCACCAACACGATTTTCTAAGTCCGTCTTCTACATCTGGTTCGTCTTCAACATTTTCTGATAATTTCAGTATATTCTGGTACATGGGAGCGCATTTATCTTCATCCAAAGATATATTTTTGAAACATAGTGCGTGTCTTAGATATGCTAAATAATAAAATATACATATATATAGATCTATTTAATTTTTAAGCCGTTTTACGAAATTAAATTTGCAATTTTATTAAGCAAATTGGATAGAATTATAAATAATTCTGTTGAAGTAATTACATCATTAAGTATGTAGAAATTACTGCGTGTAAAATTATAAAAGTATATTGTATTAAAATATTTTAATCTAAGAAAATATTCGACCAAGATAAAATTTCCAGAATATTATAAAACTTTAATAGATTTATATACTTATCTCGATTCAGGAATTACTTTTTAAACTCTAAAGAGTACTGTACATTTTATTTCTTTTTTTTTATAAAAAAAGGAGATTATTTATTCAATAACTAAATATCTTTTAAGCTTTAAGAAATATAAATATATATATATACTTATAAAAATTTTAAATTTTATTTTTGAAATGTTTTTCATATTCGTAGAAAGAGTTATCTCAGATTTTAAATTTGTATTCAACGACCCACAGGAAATCTTTTGCATGCATTTTCTTATAGAAATTTTTAGAAGTTTGGCATGTGTATTTTTTCGTAAAGATTTTTATTGCAGACTCTTTTTTTTATGGAAATAATCCCCAAGATGATTTTTCTACTCCACCAAAATGTTCTACTTTGTATAGGAAAGAGAGAAAAAAAACATCCTTACACTGTTGAATCGGCCCATCGACACAAAGTTCTTCAATCACCTGTCGAGCACCTGCCACTACTTGATTAAAGACTTTTCTTTGTACAGGGGTGAAACAAAGTTTCATATGATCATCCACACATAATACACTCTCCTGAAGGTCTCTGCAATTAAAAATAAATCGATAAGGTACTTTATAATTAATTTAATTAATGATAAAATACTTTAACCTTATTAAAACCTTTCAAAATTCGAGCTCGTTTAAAAATGTAAATTTTATTTTATCGCGCAAGATAATCAATTTCTCTAGAAATGAAAATAAACGAATGAACGCTGAATATACGTAAAATTTGATTGGCTTATTTAAATTTAAAAATATCATACGCATCGCTGATTGGTTGAATTTCATTTTAGACAAGCCAATGAGAGAAAATATTCTGTATTTTTTAATTCAGAATTAAATATTTAACCGAATGTTAACAACAATTATCTTTTTTAAACATTTAATTAAATTATATAAACAAAAATGTCTGTCAATTTTAAATTTAACTTAAATAAATCAATATGTCGCAAAATAAAAAAAAATTATAAAGTTAAAAATAAACATCGTAGCTTTTTATTGGTCTATTCAAATTCAAATACACCAATAAAAATGTATGCTGTATAAACGTATGGAATGTTTTGATATTTATTAGATTTAACGATATTTTTTGATATCGTCATTGTATGTGATGCAAAAATAAGCAGATAAATAAATAAATAATTTTATATTTTAAACATTATTCGGCTCTTTATCGATGGGAGATTCTTAACTAATAAGGTTAAAAATATTTTAAAACAGTGACTTTCAAATTATTATTAGGAAGCAGATCCTACCCTAGGGTCTAGGATGAAGAAAGGAAGAGAGCGAAGTGATGAGGAAGAGACAAATAACCAATTTAAGAATATAAATAAAATAAAATAAATATTGTTTTCAAGAAAAATGTATATAAGTTATTTTAAAGTTAAGTACTTCGTTTGTACAGTAAAATTCAGAATTCAGGACGAGTATACAATAGTACGGTAATAAGCTGTTTCTTTGTATAGTTTTATTCTCGTTTTTTAAAATAAATAAAACTTTTTATTTATATTTATGTATTAGATGAATACTCCAAATTTGTATGTATTTTAATATAAAATTTATAGAAGTATCAATAAGAAAACTTTTTAACATTTGTTTATTAAAAAATACGCGTATGTCACATAAATATTTATTAATGTTTCGTAAATATATAAAACCAAACAGGAAAGACATTTTGAAAAATTAGTCTTTTTACTTATTTTTTAAAAATTTTTCAATGGAATTTCTTGAGATTATAATGTAAAATTTTTCTTCCTTCATTAAAATTCTATGAAATGAAAGATATTCATAGAATTTACTTATGTTAGACGTCTCCAATGTTTAATAAAGTCTCACTAAAAACAAAGCAAATCTCCATCCATGAATATAGTAACTGTTTTCAATTAAACTGCTAATAACATGCTCTTGACTATTGAATGAGAAATAATATTCAAAAGACGTTTACAAGTTCCAATTCTCTTTTGTTTTTTGAGTTAAATTCATATTCCTGCTATTCATAGAAAGTTATATACAGGTAATTAATAAAATGGTTAATTAAAATTTAAATAATTTAAAAATTATATAATTTATCTATTTCTTTTTATTTAATATAAATTTTAAGTTATTCTCTCTAGTCTTTTATTTCAAGTTAAAGTTATTTCAAGTTTCCTAATTAAAAATATCAATATTAAATTGAAAAGATCAACTTGTAATTGCTGATTTTGTTATTATTTCGTTCATTATTTTTATACAAAAATATATTATTAGTATATAAAGCTAATTTGAAGATTAAAATAAATGTAATTTCTTTTAATTAAGTTAATTAAGAGAGCACTTTATTAAAGCCTTTTTCGTTTGATATTTTAATGTAATGTATAGGATGATGCATATTCATGTGAAGTTTCTTGCCTAATTTGATTTATTGCAGTTCCTCACATAGAATTTTTGAATTAATTCGTACTGTGTAATTTTTTCTATAATAAACACGAATGAAAAACATTATTTATTATTCTATATGATCATAAACTACTGTTTTAATTAACAAAATCAATAAAAAAGGTACAGAATTTTAAAAAATTAATTATTTTTTCAGTAGGATTTTGCATACAAATTAAGAAATTTTAATGAAAATTAAATTAACTAACTTAATCAAATTTAACTCAAAAGTTATTTTATTAACTCCAAATTTGAAGCTTTTGTGTGTTTTATTTTGTGTTTTTACGATTTTAATTTGAAATTCTCGGTTTTTAAAAGCACAATAATAATAATAATAATAAAAGAAAAGAAAATATAAAAAGGCTTTTGAAGACGAATAACAATGCAAATTTCATGTATATTTTAAAGTATTATATTTGTTTATAAAGAAAATGTTAGTTGTAACAAAAGTACATTTTTACTCTTAAACATTTTAAAAATTTATCCAAGATTTCTAATGCCTTTTAGCATTTCTAAACTATAGAAAAAAATCGAACAGTTATTGAAGAAGATAGGAAAATATAACTTATACATACGTATACAATACTTTCTAAATCAGTAATTGAGTTAAAACATAACTTTAAAGAAGAAATGTTATGGGTATATATGCACAATACATAGACCAGGTAGAGCATTAACTAGTATAAAGTAAAATTCAATATTTACAGGATTAATTTAAAATTTAAAACTTGTTAATGGAGAAGTTCGTTGCCATATGACAATTTAATCCAAGTAAATTAGGCCCTTTAAATAGATTATTTATTCTAAATTATGTGTGGTATATATAGTACAATAAATAATTTTAACTATTGCAATCATTTTAATCTATTAAATTTATATATTAAACAATTATTATAATAATAAATTCTTATACTAAGAATAATATTTTAATAAATGAGTTATTTTATTTAAGTCATTTAATCTATTGGAATCTGAATAAATAAATAAGTAAATAAAAATAAATATTTATACGTATTTCTCCGGAATATTTACATTATATTTACATTGTAGAAAAATACAAAAAAAAATTATTTATAATTTATTATAACAAAATAAAATTATTATAATTATTTTTATTTTGTTTCATATAAATGTAAACAGATAATTGTAATTGTTATTTTTTAATTTATATAACAACCCTTATAAATAATAACTATATTGAGACAATTATAATTTTTAAATGAACCATTTTATTTTAAGATTATGAGTACTGTAGAAGCATTGAAAAAAAATTTCTTATAAAAAAATAAATAGGAAAAACTAACCTCCCTTTCTTCCATATCATTCTTTTTTATTTTGACTTTTCAAATTTCTTCGATTCTGTTTTGTTAAAGCTAGAAATTGTATTCCTTCGTATCTACTATCATTTATTGTATATCAATATATTCCATTTTTCACCATATCAAAAATATTTCATTTTACTCTCATAGAATAATGCCTCAAAAAAAGAACAATTTACATAACTGATCCAACTCAAAAGTAATGTGAAACCAAACATTGATGGATCATTATGACTCCTATTTCGTGTGATGCTTACTAGGCATATTTTTGCTTGTTATCAAAGGTTGAGAATCGATAAAAAATGTTTTTTCCCCTGTCAATAACGCTGATGTTTGCAAAACTAATAACAAGAAGGATAACAATTTTTTTATAAAAAAAAATATATAATAAAAATTTAAAAACTTTATAAAAATTAATTAAAAGAGATTGCAAAAGTATTACAAAGTGAAATTTAAGTTTTGATCTTATTGGCGTATTCATATTTAAATCAGCCAATAAGTCGTCGAGAGAGTGTAATTTAAATTTAAATTAACGAATAGATGAGTTTCTTGTTTTATTTAAAAATGTAAATTCGTCTTCAATTGGATAATCGAAATTTAAATTTATAAATAGTATAAATAGACACTAACATTTGAATGTAATACTTTGAAGTATTTAAAATGTAATTACTAATTATACTTTTTTTTTCAAAAATTAATATATTATACGAAGATATAAAAATTGCTTCATACCTACAAACATCCAACAATTCTTGTCTAGTTGAAGCAAAGGCCAAATCATTATTCGCAGTCACTGATTGCAAAGAATTCAAACAACGATGAAACTCCTCCAATGTACATAACTCCTGTTCGGTGTTTGTAGCTAAAACTGCAACAAAATTTAATTAATTTAGAAAATGCATAAAGATACATTTAAATAAGTGAAACCTGTAATGATTAGAACGGACAATGACACCCACAATATTATACAGACAATAGGAACTACCTTCCAATATGAAAATAGGACTGCTAATACAACTTTTAAGTCAATATTTACACGTCACGTGATGGAGTGCTTTTGAATGACGTCCCCCAGCTGCATTTAATACAGCCCGGAGTCAAAAATGATTCATTCCTCCTCTCATATTGACGCCAGATCAAATTATATACTGTTGACTTTTATTCTTATAAAAATTTGTTGGATGGAATTGAATATAAATATATTAATTTGATTTTATAGAATTTATTTTATTTTATTTTAGTTTTTATTCAGAAATATAAACTGGTATGCTTTCCTTTAATAAAAATATATAAAAACTAATAAATAATCTATTCCGGATTCTCGAAGTAGGCGTATAATTCAAAATAAATTAAATAAATCGAAGTATCTTGCTTAATTTTGACCTCGTTCATACGCTGTATAGCTACATACAATTATTTTTAGAGATTAAATTTTCCATAATATACTATATTTTAAATTAAAATTAGAAATAAATATCTTTTTTTTTCCAGATGCTGAAATCTCAAAAAAAGAACAGATCAAAGGTCAGCCATCTTCAATCAAGCTTGGAGTATTGCGATTTCGTTTCTGTGATACGCTGGTATGTGATTTCCTTGGCGTATTGCGATTTCATTTCCCCATATATTAGTGACGAATTTAGCCCTATTAGTAAGTCACGTGTTTCTAGTAACTTTATCATCTTTCAAGAGTCGCGTGACCACATTTCTTGTCTTTTATAGATAAATTTATCTCAACTCGCAAGACTTTTATGTCATAAATGTGACGATATTTTGAGTTTATTTCCGAAGAAAGTTTGTAGAACTTTTATAATGTCATTTAGTTTTTCTGTTAAAGATTTCAATCAAATCTAAATAGATCCAAAACATCATACATGCTATATAAAAGCTTACTTTACAGTAAACNATTCGTAGAAAGAGTTATCTCAGATTTTAAATTTGTATTCAACGACCCACAGGAAATCTTTTGCATGCATTTTCTTATAGAAATTTTTAGAAGTTTGGCATGTGTATTTTTTCGTAAAGATTTTTATTGCAGACTCTTTTTTTTATGGAAATAATCCCCAAGATGATTTTTCTACTCCACCAAAATGTTCTACTTTGTATAGGAAAGAGAGAAAAAAAACATCCTTACACTGTTGAATCGGCCCATCGACACAAAGTTCTTCAATCACCTGTCGAGCACCTGCCACTACTTGATTAAAGACTTTTCTTTGTACAGGGGTGAAACAAAGTTTCATATGATCATCCACACATAATACACTCTCCTGAAGGTCTCTGCAATTAAAAATAAATCGATAAGGTACTTTATAATTAATTTAATTAATGATAAAATACTTTAACCTTATTAAAACCTTTCAAAATTCGAGCTCGTTTAAAAATGTAAATTTTATTTTATCGCGCAAGATAATCAATTTCTCTAGAAATGAAAATAAACGAATGAACGCTGAATATACGTAAAATTTGATTGGCTTATTTAAATTTAAAAATATCATACGCATCGCTGATTGGTTGAATTTCATTTTAGACAAGCCAATGAGAGAAAATATTCTGTATTTTTTAATTCAGAATTAAATATTTAACCGAATGTTAACAACAATTATCTTTTTTAAACATTTAATTAAATTATATAAACAAAAATGTCTGTCAATTTTAAATTTAACTTAAATAAATCAATATGTCGCAAAATAAAAAAAAATTATAAAGTTAAAAATAAACATCGTAGCTTTTTATTGGTCTATTCAAATTCAAATACACCAATAAAAATGTATGCTGTATAAACGTATGGAATGTTTTGATATTTATTAGATTTAACGATATTTTTTGATATCGTCATTGTATGTGATGCAAAAATAAGCAGATAAATAAATAAATAATTTTATATTTTAAACATTATTCGGCTCTTTATCGATGGGAGATTCTTAACTAATAAGGTTAAAAATATTTTAAAACAGTGACTTTCAAATTATTATTAGGAAGCAGATCCTACCCTAGGGTCTAGGATGAAGAAAGGAAGAGAGCGAAGTGATGAGGAAGAGACAAATAACCAATTTAAGAATATAAATAAAATAAAATAAATATTGTTTTCAAGAAAAATGTATATAAGTTATTTTAAAGTTAAGTACTTCGTTTGTACAGTAAAATTCAGAATTCAGGACGAGTATACAATAGTACGGTAATAAGCTGTTTCTTTGTATAGTTTTATTCTCGTTTTTTAAAATAAATAAAACTTTTTATTTATATTTATGTATTAGATGAATACTCCAAATTTGTATGTATTTTAATATAAAATTTATAGAAGTATCAATAAGAAAACTTTTTAACATTTGTTTATTAAAAAATACGCGTATGTCACATAAATATTTATTAATGTTTCGTAAATATATAAAACCAAACAGGAAAGACATTTTGAAAAATTAGTCTTTTTACTTATTTTTTAAAAATTTTTCAATGGAATTTCTTGAGATTATAATGTAAAATTTTTCTTCCTTCATTAAAATTCTATGAAATGAAAGATATTCATAGAATTTACTTATGTTAGACGTCTCCAATGTTTAATAAAGTCTCACTAAAAACAAAGCAAATCTCCATCCATGAATATAGTAACTGTTTTCAATTAAACTGCTAATAACATGCTCTTGACTATTGAATGAGAAATAATATTCAAAAGACGTTTACAAGTTCCAATTCTCTTTTGTTTTTTGAGTTAAATTCATATTCCTGCTATTCATAGAAAGTTATATACAGGTAATTAATAAAATGGTTAATTAAAATTTAAATAATTTAAAAATTATATAATTTATCTATTTCTTTTTATTTAATATAAATTTTAAGTTATTCTCTCTAGTCTTTTATTTCAAGTTAAAGTTATTTCAAGTTTCCTAATTAAAAATATCAATATTAAATTGAAAAGATCAACTTGTAATTGCTGATTTTGTTATTATTTCGTTCATTATTTTTATACAAAAATATATTATTAGTATATAAAGCTAATTTGAAGATTAAAATAAATGTAATTTCTTTTAATTAAGTTAATTAAGAGAGCACTTTATTAAAGCCTTTTTCGTTTGATATTTTAATGTAATGTATAGGATGATGCATATTCATGTGAAGTTTCTTGCCTAATTTGATTTATTGCAGTTCCTCACATAGAATTTTTGAATTAATTCGTACTGTGTAATTTTTTCTATAATAAACACGAATGAAAAACATTATTTATTATTCTATATGATCATAAACTACTGTTTTAATTAACAAAATCAATAAAAAAGGTACAGAATTTTAAAAAATTAATTATTTTTTCAGTAGGATTTTGCATACAAATTAAGAAATTTTAATGAAAATTAAATTAACTAACTTAATCAAATTTAACTCAAAAGTTATTTTATTAACTCCAAATTTGAAGCTTTTGTGTGTTTTATTTTGTGTTTTTACGATTTTAATTTGAAATTCTCGGTTTTTAAAAGCACAATAATAATAATAATAATAAAAGAAAAGAAAATATAAAAAGGCTTTTGAAGACGAATAACAATGCAAATTTCATGTATATTTTAAAGTATTATATTTGTTTATAAAGAAAATGTTAGTTGTAACAAAAGTACATTTTTACTCTTAAACATTTTAAAAATTTATCCAAGATTTCTAATGCCTTTTAGCATTTCTAAACTATAGAAAAAAATCGAACAGTTATTGAAGAAGATAGGAAAATATAACTTATACATACGTATACAATACTTTCTAAATCAGTAATTGAGTTAAAACATAACTTTAAAGAAGAAATGTTATGGGTATATATGCACAATACATAGACCAGGTAGAGCATTAACTAGTATAAAGTAAAATTCAATATTTACAGGATTAATTTAAAATTTAAAACTTGTTAATGGAGAAGTTCGTTGCCATATGACAATTTAATCCAAGTAAATTAGGCCCTTTAAATAGATTATTTATTCTAAATTATGTGTGGTATATATAGTACAATAAATAATTTTAACTATTGCAATCATTTTAATCTATTAAATTTATATATTAAACAATTATTATAATAATAAATTCTTATACTAAGAATAATATTTTAATAAATGAGTTATTTTATTTAAGTCATTTAATCTATTGGAATCTGAATAAATAAATAAGTAAATAAAAATAAATATTTATACGTATTTCTCCGGAATATTTACATTATATTTACATTGTAGAAAAATACAAAAAAAAATTATTTATAATTTATTATAACAAAATAAAATTATTATAATTATTTTTATTTTGTTTCATATAAATGTAAACAGATAATTGTAATTGTTATTTTTTAATTTATATAACAACCCTTATAAATAATAACTATATTGAGACAATTATAATTTTTAAATGAACCATTTTATTTTAAGATTATGAGTACTGTAGAAGCATTGAAAAAAAATTTCTTATAAAAAAATAAATAGGAAAAACTAACCTCCCTTTCTTCCATATCATTCTTTTTTATTTTGACTTTTCAAATTTCTTCGATTCTGTTTTGTTAAAGCTAGAAATTGTATTCCTTCGTATCTACTATCATTTATTGTATATCAATATATTCCATTTTTCACCATATCAAAAATATTTCATTTTACTCTCATAGAATAATGCCTCAAAAAAAGAACAATTTACATAACTGATCCAACTCAAAAGTAATGTGAAACCAAACATTGATGGATCATTATGACTCCTATTTCGTGTGATGCTTACTAGGCATATTTTTGCTTGTTATCAAAGGTTGAGAATCGATAAAAAATGTTTTTTCCCCTGTCAATAACGCTGATGTTTGCAAAACTAATAACAAGAAGGATAACAATTTTTTTATAAAAAAAAATATATAATAAAAATTTAAAAACTTTATAAAAATTAATTAAAAGAGATTGCAAAAGTATTACAAAGTGAAATTTAAGTTTTGATCTTATTGGCGTATTCATATTTAAATCAGCCAATAAGTCGTCGAGAGAGTGTAATTTAAATTTAAATTAACGAATAGATGAGTTTCTTGTTTTATTTAAAAATGTAAATTCGTCTTCAATTGGATAATCGAAATTTAAATTTATAAATAGGATAAATAGACACTAACATTTGAATGTAATACTTTGAAGTATTTAAAATGTAATTACTAATTATACTTTTTTTTTCAAAAATTAATATATTATACGAAGATATAAAAATTGCTTCATACCTACAAACATCCAACAATTCTTGTCTAGTTGAAGCAAAGGCCAAATCATTATTCGCAGTCACTGATTGCAAAGAATTCAAACAACGATGAAACTCCTCCAATGTACATAACTCCTGTTCGGTGTTTGTAGCTAAAACTGCAACAAAATTTAATTAATTTAGAAAATGCATAAAGATACATTTAAATAAGTGAAACCTGTAATGATTAGAACGGACAATGACACCCACAATATTATACAGACAATAGGAACTACCTTCCAATATGAAAATAGGACTGCTAATACAACTTTTAAGTCAATATTTACACGTCACGTGATGGAGTGCTTTTGAATGACGTCCCCCAGCTGCATTTAATACAGCCCGGAGTCAAAAATGATTCATTCCTCCTCTCATATTGACGCCAGATCAAATTATATACTGTTGACTTTTATTCTTATAAAAATTTGTTGGATGGAATTGAATATAAATATATTAATTTGATTTTATAGAATTTATTTTATTTTATTTTAGTTTTTATTCAGAAATATAAACTGGTATGCTTTCCTTTAATAAAAATATATAAAAACTAATAAATAATCTATTCCGGATTCTCGAAGTAGGCGTATAATTCAAAATAAATTAAATAAATCGAAGTATCTTGCTTAATTTTGACCTCGTTCATACGCTGTATAGCTACATACAATTATTTTTAGAGATTAATTTTTCCATAATATACTATATTTTAAATTAAAATTAGAAATAAATATCTTTTTTTTTCCAGATGCTGAAATCTCAAAAAAAGAACAGATCAAAGGTCAGCCATCTTCAATCAAGCTTGGAGTATTGCGATTTCGTTTCTGTGATACGCTGGTATGTGATTTCCTTGGCGTATTGCGATTTCATTTCCCCATATATTAGTGACGAATTTAGCCCTATTAGTAAGTCACGTGTTTCTAGTAACTTTATCATCTTTCAAGAGTCGCGTGACCACATTTCTTGTCTTTTATAGATAAATTTATCTCAACTCGCAAGACTTTTATGTCATAAATGTGACGATATTTTGAGTTTATTTCCGAAGAAAGTTTGTAGAACTTTTATAATGTCATTTAGTTTTTCTGTTAAAGATTTCAATCAAATCTAAATAGATCCAAAACATCATACATGCTATATAAAAGCTTACTTTACAGTAAACCGAATTCTTATCTGAAAAGGTACTTCCATTACAAGTAATCCTATCAAGTTTTAAATTATTTTTATCGACTTTACAATATGTAACACTACTTTAACATTATAAGGAATTACTGTTGAGTAGTAAATAAAAAGAAAATTTAAAAACAGACGTATTACAAACGTATAAGTATTTCTTTCAATTACCGAACTTCTTGTCTTTTCTAATGATGCTACTAGAGTAATATTAAATAGGAACAGCTCAGGAGCTTCTGTAATTCAACAAATTACTTCTGTTACCTGATTAGCAAATTATTATTGATTATTGTCGATTAGATTTACAATTTTCAATCCTCCAAAACATAATTCAATTTACAATTTCTTTGTTGTAAATTATCATTCCATTCCTTCGCCGTTAACAAATTACTACTACTTTTGTGATTTTATAACAAACAACCTCCGGCTTAACAGGAAAAATTAAATAAGAAAAAAATAATAATAATTTATATAAAATCTGTTATTTTTATATTTCATTTTAAAACATTTTTCGAGTCATAACTTATTCATACAGTTCAAGTTTTCATATAAAACAAAAAATTTCACGAATTAAATTCCCTAAAGATATTATTTTACGTATGTTTTGTTTATCATAAAGATAATAAGAAGTTTATTATTTTGGAAATTATAAAAGATACTGTAAATTTGGATTATATGAAAAAATATATCCGTATGTTTTTCTTCCCTAAAAATATATTACTTAAACTGGAATTATTCAAATTTTCTTTCGTAAATTAATGAATAAATATTTGCCCTTAGATGTGTTAAAATCAACAAAGATAGCATCTTCATTCATTGTACATGTATAAATATTTACAAAGTTTTTAATTAGAATAACTATTGGATTTAATCTGTAAAATGTATTTAAAAAAAAAAAAAAAATTAAAACATGTTGCGTGGCAAAAATTCTTTCAGTATCAGCATTAACATTTTTCATTCAGAAACAGGATACTCGCCATATTTAATACAATAATTATCCTAATTGGGCGGAAGTTGTGATTAATGATAATGAAAATTCCTACAGATTTTACAGGTTCAAATCTAATTAATTTCACTGAATTATCAGACAAAAGCCTGACTGAAACGAAGATTGAAGTTATATTTTTATAAGTCTGGAGCATCTTTTCAATCTAGCAAATTCTGCTTTATAGCTCTATCTATTATAAGAAATTCTTCAACATGAGCCTTTATGAGATCTCTAAAGTCCCAACTGGATTAAGTTTTCTTACTACGATAATAAAAAAAAAAGAAACTTGATCTAGTTCGGAGTGGGGAAACCCTATGGGCGATTTAAAAGAATTGTGCCAGTATTTGTTCCTGATTTCCTTACGTTACGATGCTGTTGTCAGATATTTCACGGCAGCATGAGCGTTATCCGCGATTAAATTTATAATATGAGATTAATCAAGGATAAGATTCATGCCGTTACGAAATATGGAGAACGTTTACGCTAATGGTTACGTATTGGATGGTTGAAAATTAGATGTTTAATCGATAATAATTTACTATTCGTGTAACAAAATTATGCTACCACTTACAACTATGCTACAATACTTTCTATGTAATCTGTTTTTCAAGAATATAACTCAATATTTATATATAGAAATCTTAATATACTTCACCCATCGTAACTTATGATTATAGCTTTGATATTCTATTCAGTAAATTAAATAGAAATATTGTTAAAATCATAAATAAATTTAGTTCTTTTTTTATAAGTCTTTAATTTTTAAGTATGTAGAAATTACTGCGTGTCCAAATCATTATTCGCAGTCACTGATTGCAAAGAATTCAAACAACGATGAAACTCCTCCAATGTACATAACTCCTGTTCGGTGTTTGTAGCTAAAACTGCAACAAAATTTAATTAATTTAGAAAATGCATAAAGATACATTTAAATAAGTGAAACCTGTANAAATAATATAAATTAGTTAAAAGTCAAACCTGGTAGTAAAACCAGCAAAATGTCCAGACAAGAAAGTTCAAGTTTCATGGAAAGTTGTACACTGCACACGCACCAGTTAGACAGAGAAAAGAGTTGGTATGAGCTGCACTGATCACTGGCTTCTACTGACAAGGTAGTCGCGATCAGCTCGGAACATCGATCTGGGAATAGACCTCGTGGCTGCTGAGCAAAGCGTCAACTCCTCTAGCCACTCTGATTGCTTCTGCTACCAAATTCAGTAGATTTATCAAAACTTCTGACCCAGAACGACACATCCTGATAAATATTAACAGCGTATATATAATTATAACCTATACTATTCTCTCTTAAGCTTATATTTTTATACGTATATCGGTTTATACGAAGGATTATCCTAATTCTTTACGTGGTTGTTTAGATACTGAATTTGTCTGTAGAAAAATAAAAATAATCGCTTATTGAATAAATAAATAAATATTAGATAAATTGGGTTTACTGAGGAAAATGCCGGATGGTAGCCTTGGAAAATGAGGAAAGATTGAGGGAAGAGATTTAAGTTGATAGTAAAGATGATGGTAGTTAGAAAATATGTGTTTCATGTATGGGGGAGATGTTAAGTTGGTGTTTTGGGAGAAAGGCTGTTAAAGAGAAATTTATGTTCAACTGAGAAGTTTTAACTGCGTTACTCGCAGTTAAAATCAAGTTAAAGGGCTAGAAAATAATAAAAATGAAATTTCGTAATGGTGTAGTAAAACGTAATTAAAATGCGGTTTATGTTAAGGAAAGCCTTTAATAGAGTTTATGCTCAATGAATTAAATTTAATTGAGCTTACTATAAGAAAGGCTACATTGATTGGATTTATGTTTGAGGCAATAATTTAATAAAGGTTTACTATTAAGAAGGCAACTTAATCGTTTACTTGTTAAAAAGTATGCTAATTAGCAAAGCAAACTTAATTCTATGAGTAAGTAAATAATAATGAATTATTAATGATTTAAACTTTATTTTTCTTATGTATAAAATGCAACAATTCAAGTTAAATAAGAAAGATGGAATTTATATCAAAATAAGTGGAAAAACTTGGTCTAAACGAAACGATCAGAAGGGAATTAAAGCAATTAAAAGAGATTTTACATTTAATTAAGCGGGATAAAAATCATAATTAGAAATTTAAATCTGACAAGAAACAAAAGTAATTTGGATTAATTGTTTTTTTTCCCTTTAATTTTTATGTAATTTTTGTCAAAACTTTTAAATTTTTATCTTTAATGCCACTACTCAAATAAATAGTTTTAAAACAGAATCATTTGCTAGAAAGACGGATAATTATTTACAATTAAAGTCATTACCTTGCAAATTTTCAGCTTAATTTGATGAAAAATTGCGCTTTAATGGGAAACAAGCTTCAAGCTATATTCTAATGAAAATTCACTACGTTTGATTACGTAGACATAAGTTTAAATGGCTAATTTTTTAAGACTATGTTTTTAAAAAAACGTAAAATGTTTTTTTTTCTTTCTAATATTAAAAAAGTGGAATTAAAATGAAGTTACTTACAGTTTATACTACGCAATATAAAGAAATATTTAAATATTTGTTAATTAATAAATATTATAATATCTGCCTCGAGCTTTACTCAAAAGATGGCGTTGAATAGCAGATTGGGGAGTTTGCCAACTCGAACAGTTTAATTTCTGTCGAATTACCTTGACACCCGTTCGGTAATATAAATCTAATAAAAATTAAAGATGTGACATAAATTTATTAAATGAAAATATCCGGTAGAAATATTTATGAAAAATTTATTAAAAATTGACTTTTTTTTTATTATTTAAATTTTAATATTTGATATTAAAGTTCAGACTTGACTATAAATAAATAAATAAATAAAGTATAATTAGTAAAATTTTAAAGTGAATTCTCGATATAACTGAAGTTGTATAATTAAATTTATGATAGTGTTTAATATTACGAGCACGTTGAGTGTAAATGCGACGAAAGAGTTAAGTTAGTCGCTC